AAAAAAAAAAAGGAGAAAAGACTAAGGGAAAAGACTAAAGGGTTTCTTAGTACAACTTATATTACAAAATTAATACTTTTTTCCTTCAAAAAAACATCAATAGAACAAAAGCTTTTTAGTAGAAATAGCAACTCTGTATACAATAATTTAAAACCATGCATTTAAAATTTATGAATTAGGGTGGTGACCCGTTAGGTCAGTTGGTTAGAGAGCAGTGTTATAACACCAAGGTCAAGGGTTCAGATCCCCATACTCTCTGGCCACACACACAAAAAATCATATCCATAAAATCAACACCATATTTTCTCCTTATTTTAATGTGTGTTTCCCTGTGTTGATAAGCTCCATTATTCAGGAAATCATGATAAACAATCCTATAAAGTTGTTTTTGGTTTATGTGAGGATTTTTTTTTTTTTGCATTTGCAAAATATGCCCCATAACAGAGCAAGTTTTAAATTTATATGTATTTGATAGGGTCAATTAAAAATATAGCTTAGAAATATATAAATTGACAGCATAAACAAATAGTTCTAAATCTGCAGAATGCAAATGCTATTAGCCCAAGTCTCATCCCTTATGTGCACATGAACATGGAGATTATCACACCAACCCAATACTTGTTCCCTATCATTTATTTCTGACCAATAATTATCAGAGCATATTCCACTACAACTTACAAAAAATTGGTTTATGTTGCTTCTGATTGTATCCAAGTCCTGAGACACATTAAGGGACTGTTCTTTCCAGTAATTCAGAGTTTGCTGAGAAGACTCTAACCACTTGGTTAACTCCTCTGAATCTCTGTTATAACTAACAGAAACAAAGCGAGAGAGAAAGGAAATTAGAAACATACTCTGATGATAATATGCATCACCACCATATTTTCTCCTTATTTTAATGTGTGCTTCCCTGTGTTGATAAGCTCCATTATTCAGGAAATCATGATGTGCATAAGGATTACATCATGTTTTATACCATGTCCCAAATCTGATGTTATTGGCATTTTCTAGGACTCTCTGTTATGACTGATCAAGAACAAAGAGGCATTTTAGTCTAAATTTTTTTTTATTTCTCATTACAGCTACACAAAAGTATACCTATGGGTAAGAACAGAGATTATTTTCACACCTCAAATGTCCTCTCTAAATTTGTTTATAGTGAAAATATAACCAGTATTTATATAAATTGCTGTTAGCTGAATGCCAAAAGTTATTTATCTGATGTGATGAAAATATCCAGTGAAAATGCTGCCCCTCTTGTAACTTTTAAACTTCTTCAGGTTAGGTGCTTCTGGTCAAAATGGTGGAACAGACAGTCCCCAGCATCCCTCTCTCCCACAAATCAACCAATTTACAACTATTTAAAAGCAACAACAGCCAAGCTGCGGCTGCTAGAGCTCAGGGGAAGAGGAGGAGAGACCTATAGAGTGCACGAAGGTGGGAGAGAAAGAAAAAACTGCTCTGTTTCAAGCCCCAGCTATGTCCAGGCTGGAGCTGCTGAGCACACAGAGCAGGAGCCAGCAAAAGCTGCAGTTGTGCCCTTCGGATGAAGTTGCTTGGAGGTGGCAGGGGAGAAGAGGGCCTAGGTGGCCCCCAGGCCAGAAAGATCACTAATAGGGTTCCTGTGGACCCACCCAGGAGTGTGGAGCCACGACAACTGAAAAAAAGGAGCCACTCAGAGGCCAGTGAGTCATCGCAAGGGACTGGTGCATGGCCTGTCCTATGGGAAGTGTTTGCAGTACAGGCAAACAAACACTAGGAGAAGAGTGGGCACAGCAAGAACAACTGATCTGCACCCCAATCAGCACAGGACCACTCAGAGGAGACCTGTCAGTAATATAGAATTGCATGGGGTGCAGTTTGATGAAAAAACTCAGGCCCAGACCACAGTTTCTACACAACCCAGGTGCACCAGATCTCTTAAGAGCCAGAAGGACCTACAAAGTCAACCATTAAATCCTGAGCTGCACAAAAAGCCTTCCCTAGGGAATCAGCAACAAAGCAGCAATTTAGCTCAACCACACAGCTCAAATACTGATCCCCACAGGAAGTTCCCCTATTTTAGAAGTAAGCAGAGAACAACAAATTAGTTCCAGCACAGAGTTTAAGTGGTGGGTACAACAAATAATCCAACACAGAACTGAAAGAAAAAACAAAGTACCCACAACCAGAGACAAAGTTTGATATTAACTAGTAAAGGTCTTATTTCACCTAAGAACACCTATAACACTAGAAGGACCAGAAGTCCCCTGGGCTACCAAGCCAGAAAGGGGGAAGGGCTGGGGGCCTCAGCAATGCCCCCTGACACCCGCAAACAATCCCAAAGGTGGGGGATGAGGCCCTTGGCCACACCCTCCTGACACATGTAGCCAGCCCAGCAGTGACCACCAAGCCTCTGCAGGAAGCACTCTGGGCTCTCCCATCTGGAGTGGTGGGGGGCCTCAGGCCTCGGCCATGCCCCCCCTCGACACTCACAGTCAGCCCAGCAGCAACCACTGAGCTTCCACAGGAAGTGTCCCAGGCTCTCCTGAGCTGAGGGGGGGAGGGCCTTGGGCCTTGGCCACGTTCCCCCGACACTAGCAGCCAGCCCAGCGGCAACCACTGAGCCACCACAAGATGCACCCTGGGCTCTCCCAACCTGGGATGGTGGGGGGCTGGGGCCTCAGCCACATCCCCCTGACACATTCAACCAGCCAGTGACCCCCAAACTACTGCAGGAAGTGCCCTGGGCTCTCCCAAGCCGGAGCAGTGGGGGGCCTTGGGCCTTGGGCACACCACTCTGACAGGTGCAACCAGCCCAGCAATGACCACCAAGCCACAGCAAGAAGGGCCCCAGGTTCCCGAGTTGGAACAGTGGGGGGGCGAGGGCTTTTGCCACACTCCCCTGACATCTGCACCCAGCCTAGCAGTGACCAAGGCACCACTGGAAGCCCCCCAGTCTCCCCTGTGGGAATGAGGGGGTGCCGCAGGCCTCAATCCTGCCCCTCTTTCTTCCTCCTTCTTCCATCCCATTCCTTCTCCTTTCCCCCTCCCCCTCTCTCCTAGCTGATCCACAACATCCTAGAATATAAAAAATAATATTAATAAAATTACATTTTCTTACAAAAAAAAAAGAAAGAAAAAAATAAACTTCATGTTAAGACAGCCCTCTAACAGGCAGAAATTAGAATGAGGTTTAAACTTTCTATGTTCTTCACCTTCTTTAAGTGGTCCATGATTATACCAACTAAGCCAAAAAAATTCTCTGAAGAACTTGAAAGACTTCTTCAAACAATTCTGTGAGCTAAAATTTTAAGATTTTTGGAAGAAGGTAGGAAAGAGCAACATCATGGCACAAAGGCAATATATGTACATACAGTTTTATAACAGAATTCCTAGTTTCTGTAGAAATGTATAAATGCTCCCCAGCAAACTGATTACATATTGTCTTGAGTCTAGCCAAACTGGTATCAGCAACTCTGGATCCCTTTTAGTATGGAAAAGGGACCCAACTGCTTTAGACTGTCAAAGAAAAAAAAAAAGTACAAAAGAGGGACTGCATGTAAGATTTAATTGCCTGCTGAATCCCTCTGGTCTTTATCCCCAGCAAAATTAGAAGCCAATCAAACCCCTAAGAAAACACACCTGAGCAGATGCTTCAAAAGTGTTTGCAGTCTGTGGAGTTCATGGTCAATTCTCTTGTTGAGGGACAACCACTGCTCTTCCAGTTTTGCAATCTGGACCTCTAGTTCAGGACAGCTCACAGATGCCACCAGCAGTTTGCCTTCATTCAGAGTTTGGTAAAGCCGGGCATGATTTCCATCAATGCTTCTTTTTATTTGCTGATGAAAGTAAAATCATAGAATGAATTATTTAAAAAATAAAACTCACCAATCTATTTGCATATACTTCATTAAATCCCTACACTAGGGGCAACTGTAGAAACAATACAGTTTCCCAACCCCGAAGACTGTAGTCTGGCTGGCCAGACGTGATTGATGGTTTACTGATCAACTTTCATGATGAGAGTGTCCAATTAACACATTTCTGTAGCACAGATTCAACGCTATAGACTTATGCACGCGAACCAAAAACCAAAACTCACAGATTTAGATCTGATAGTTAATTCTTCCATCTAGACAAAAAACAAAAAAAAAAAGCTAGCAGTCTATAGACCACGTTCAGCTTGCAGATATAGGTTTCATGTGACCTAAAGATTATTTTGAAAATCAAGAAGTTTTACATACAAAACAGGATTTCTAGCATCTCAGGGAAAACTGGAAGATCTAGCAATTGTGAGTCTGCACTCTCATGTGGCAAAGCCTGGCTGTAACCTAGTAGCAATGGCTCCCATGAGAAGAGCCTACTCTCTTTAGTTCTCTCTCCCTCAGTCACCACCACCCTTCTGATTGCAGACACAGCCAGCATTCCTTATTTCTGTTCTCCTGACTGGTGCCTGGAAGCATTTCAGATTGGGACTGAGACATATGAAGGGGATAAATAAGAAAACATTTCTCTATCATCTGTTAGATACAAATAGGGAAATTAATTTATTTCTGGAGTGTTCTAAATGTAAAGATTCAATAGGGAGAAAGGAAGATAACATTAGAAGAACAAATTAAAACAGATAACGCATCATTAATGCAACTTCATGAAAAAAGAGAATTCTTCAAAACTGTGAATACAAGGACCTCCTGAAGAAAAAAGTCTGTCTAAAGGCAATTATGATCCACTGCTGGGTTCAGTTAATGCCATTTATCCTGACAGCTGTTTAATCTCTTTTTTTTTTGTGACCAGTAAGGGGATCATAACCCTTGGCTTGGTGTTGCCCGCACCGCACTCACTTTTTTTTTTGTGACCAGTAAGGGGATCATAACCCTTGGCTTGGTGTTGCCCGCACCACACTCAGCCAGTGAGCGCACCGGCCATCCCTACATAGGATCCGAACCCGTGGCCTCCCCGTGCACAGCGCCGCTGTGCTTCCAGTGCCGCACTCTCCCGAGTGAGCCACGGGGTTGGCCCGACAGCTCTTTAATCTTAAAAAATAAATTATTATTAAAATAGAACTTTTGCTGTTTTCCAATTACCTTATATCTTTTTAGAAATTACCAAGGAATTCCACTTTCAATGCCATTTCCAGCACTCCCATTTGTAATCCCCCCCACCCACGCCATCTGAGCCTGTGAGCTAGAATAGAACATCCAACATCAGTTTTAAAAAAATAATTATAATTTTCTAAGTCCTTAAGTGTCAGACACCCCATCTTTAGAATATCTCTGAGAAGTTTTATTTGTCCATGTTATACACAGGAGATAAGACTGTGTGCTGGTCACTCAGCCTGTGAGGTGCCAAGCAAGCATTCGAGCATGAGTGTGTGGGACTTCAGACGCCGCACACTGACCCCTATGGCCCACAGCCCACAGATGTCCACCGATCAAGATGACAACACCTGTTGGATACACACAAACCTCTCCATGACTCCGAAGACTGAAAATGGCCTAAGAAGTCTATATATGGGATGGGCTTTATGAGATATGTCTTCTTTCAGTCTGGTAAATTTATTTAAAAGTCTTAGAACAAATTTTTTTTTAAATTTCAAATTCAATAGAATCACACATTTTAAGGCATATGGTCAAGCTCCTATTAGAAATATGAGGGGGGAATAATCAAGCTCATACTAGACTGTTCATATAATTAGGTTTAAATATAGACAGTGCTCAACTTATGATGATTTGACTTATACTTTTTCAAGTTTACAATGGTTATTGGGACATATCCCCATCGTAAGTAGAGGATATTAAATGCATTTTCTATTAGATGCATCAAAAATCGGGGCACTAGATGCATTTTCGACTTAAAATAGGTTTATTGGGATGCAACAACATTGTAAGTCAAGAAGCATTTGTACTATCTGTCTTCAACTGCATTCTTTCAGCTGTTCAGATGGTACCTTCTATGTTTGTAGACTAACAACGAATTAAACAGTAGCCCCCACCCCCACCCACTCCAGAGGACCCAGATTTACCACAATAAAATTGCAATGAGACCAATTGTAGCTTTCTGGGCATACAGAGAATATAAATAAGTTGTTTCAGTATCAGGCAAATGTTCTCATAGGGGCTAAAATGCCTCCAAGGAATAGCACGGCCCTGCCAAGTATTTCTTACTTTCATTTTCCATTCAATCTTTTCAGGCAATAAATCTGCCTTTGAAGTTTTAAAGTTGGTATTTGATAACTACCTCTAGCCGTCCAACTCAGACTCTGACTACATAGATTCTAAAGTGAAAACTAAATATGTTAAGGTTCTGATGAGAAGATGTAAAAACTTGTTTTATCTTGTTGGTCACGTTCTCAATGCCACTCAAAAACCATTTTCAGGTTTTACCTTTTCTAAAGCATTGAAATCTGAGACACAGAGACAATACCAAAAGTTACACAAGAAAAGTTTTAAAGTTTGAAGTCTTTATACATTGCTAGTGGCAGGTAACAGATTATTGTCTGTCTCATAGGCTGTGCCCAATCATGGCTTCACTAGTAATAAAACTAAATATGTTTAGAAAGGCCCATGGTTTACAATGTTCTTTCCATTTTTCAGCTTGTTTCCCTATTAGTAGCCCATCGATATGGACCTCTGGAGACAGGTAAGAACTAGCTTATGTACTTTCTATAGATACAGACACTGAGACTTAGAGACAACAAGGTCACAAAGGTGACAAGTGAGAGAGGAGGACCCAAACCAATGTCCTGAGCCCCAAGCCAGACACGTGTTATGCTGAGTTGTTCATGGTCAAATACGGTCTCCCCGAATACGTCTAACAGTGAGCTGTGTGATGAACGACGTTTCATCTCAATTCAAATCATGCACTTTCGAAAATAAAACACATGCCTTTGACAACGTAAAGGGAAGCAAGATACCTGGTAAAATGAAATCCGTTCCACTAATCTTTCCTCTGTCTCTTCCACCAGACTCACAGAGGGCAATGTAGATATGAGAATTTCCAGGTCCTTTTCAAGAGATGCATAGTTTTCATCAAATTCTTCCCATCTCTAGAGAACCAAGAACATAAAACTGGTGGGGGCCCTTTTCTAGACTGGTTCCAGATAGTGGCACATTAATCATAAAAACTAAGACAAACACTGAGGCCATACAAAATTAAAGCACAGATTCCAGGTGCGTCTGAGAGACGTAACCTACCCTAGTAAGAGCTCAGGGTCTAATGGAAAACAATTCCATTGCCTTTGAGGACAAGGTTTAAAAAAATCCAGTTACCATTAGTTTTATGCTTGTCCTGTCAAAGTAGGTAACAGGATTAGAAGAGTAATACAATGAAGTTAAAGTGATACTTTTATCACCTCCATAGAGACCTCAGAGCCATAAGAGAGCCTTTCTCTTATTTGGAAAGGCACAGAGCTAACTTTTTTTTTTCTTTCCTTTTTGTCTTTTTTCGTGACCGGCAATGGATCACAACCCTCAGTGTCGCGCCCGTACCGGACCGGGACCGGCAATGGAATCGCAACCCTCGGTGTTGCTCCCGCACCTCGCTCAGCCAGTGAGCGGGAACCGGTCTGTATGTGGGATCCGAACCCTCGGCGGGAGCGCCACCGCGCTCCCAAGCGGTGCACTGCAGCAGTGCGCCACCGGGCTGGCCCTAACTTTTCTTTTTCTAAATTTTATTTTAAAGGAATTTATTTCTTAATTGAAACATATTGATTATACATATTTATGGGGTACAGAGTTATATTTCAATATGCATATACAATGTGTGATGATCAAATCAGGGTAATTAGCATATTCATCATGGTAGATCTATCATTTCTTTGTGATGAGAACATCTGAGCTCTAGCCATTTGAGAACACAGAATAAATTATTGTTAAGTATAGATGCCTAGCACTGCTGTACACCACTAGAACTTATTTTTCCTATCTAGCTGTAATTCTGTGCCCATTAACCAGCCTCTCCTTACCCCTCCCCCCATCCCCTTCCCAGCTTCTAGTAACCACAGCTAAGGCGACAGCTCTCCCCTGGTGAAGTGAAAGCCCACACTCGTCACACAAGACTTCGGTGGGCTTCTGCTTCAAGTAGCATGGTAGATTGGTGGGCGTGAGCTTGGGCTTGGAGCGAGGGCAACAACGGCCTGCCAGGAGCTTCTGTTGAAAAAGGCCTGCTTGGGGAGTGTGGGCTCACACTTCAGCAGTGGGGTGCTCCTGCCTTCGCCTCAGTTTTGCCGTGCCCTAGCTCCCTCCATTTCCATGGAAGTCCACTGCTAGGTTCCCAGCATACCACAGAGCAGACTTATTGACACTTAAAAATTATCTACTGGAAAAATAACCACCTCACTAATTCTCAAATCTATTCAAATACGTGGGCCACCTGACGTTTATATCGCACTCACTGGGCCCATGGAGTCTTTTTTTTTTTTTTTAATACCATGAAATATTATTATAAATATCAATTTGATGCACTAACTAAAAAATAAATTGTGTCAGCACAAAATAACACTATTACATGACCAGGTTGAATATTTTCTTCCTTATTTCCTTTATGTGCTAACAGTGGCTATACAAGGTAAACCTTTATGTCAGAGGGGAAAACCTGAACACTGCCAAGGAGCTTTATGCAGGCTTAATTGTTTTTCTTTGAATTGAGACAAGCGTGTCATGAATCCATTTTAGCAACAGAACATTGGGTCTTGTTCTCTTAAAGGAGTACAGTTTCTGAACCTCCAACAGTTTCATCCAAATGATCTCATTCAAAGCCTCAAAGTGCTTTCAATTTCGTTTATTCATACCCATACCTAAAAGGTAGAAAGGTGCCATACCATCCCAGATTTATGTATGAGAAATCCCAGCTAATCTTTCATTCAGAGAATAGAGTCAGAAGTAGACCAGGGGTCCACGTTCCTCCCTTTGATGTCCCCGTGTCCCTGTAGCTTAATGATAACTAGATGTTTGTTTCACACGTGGAGATCACGGTTGGAAATCAGGAATTCCCAGCTGAAGTACAAAGTGTATCTAACCCAAATACCTGCAACAAATTCTGCAGCTTCATGCCATGTTGGCGTGACCTTTCTTCTAGTAATTTAACTTCTGTTACTTGTTCTTTCCAAAATGTCTCTCTCTTTTGCAATAAAGAAGGAAACATTTTGGCAGAGTATGTTTGGATCAACAACATGTCAGCAGCAAGCTTCTGGAAAAAAACCTGTAAGATGGAAAAGGTCTTTAGTATTTATTATTTTAAAATTGTGAAAATCTTAAAAAGCAATTTACTTCAACTGTTTATTGAGTTATCTTTGTGTTTTAATCCAAAACCCTAGGACATCCCATGCAGAGTCAAATATATGAGAAAACAAAAGAAAATTGAAATGGATTCCTTAGTCTATAAACACTAACAGAATTTTAACAAATTATAAAGAAATATTATCCTTAAGTAGTATTTTCCACAAAATAATCAATTTTAAACAGCCAACATTATTGTTAGTCAATTTCAGCTTCCAGATATTTTTAAGTCACTTGTTTTGAGTTTTTAAAACATTACAAAAAGGTAGATGCCAATGTGGCTAATGAATTTTAAGACTAATAAGTTGCAATGGATAGATGTGCATACCCAAGCAAGCCCACACATTCCACACACAGGGCCTAAACCCCGGCTCTAACTTCTATACAACAAAATGGCTAAATAAAGGGCATTTCCTGATGGGGGTTATTAGGGATCCTGGTCCATAAAGTTTCCCATATTTGTGCTTCAAGAACCTTTAAAGAGGAATGTTTGAGTTCCCATGGTTCTCCATTCAGTCTGCTGCCTCCTCAAGTTGTTCAGAGGGACCCCCTTATTATGTGAATCTCTCGAAAGGATAGATACATAGAAGGGTTTATAAGAGCATGTAGCAAAGGGCCTGGCACACTGTAGATCATTAATATTATTTTCTCCTCTTCCTCTTCATCCTTTATACAATATTTACCTTTCAATTTTTCTGAGACTAAGGTCCACTTACCAAAGGCCCTAGACTGTGGGCTTGTCGAAGGTAAAAAAAAAAAAAAAAATCTTACACATTTTTTATTCTCAGCACCCAGATAACTGCATATCTTTAGCTGGTGATCATGAGGTTGTTGTTTAATGAAATGAATGGAAAATTAAAGGATTTATTATAGTATTGTGCTAGATAACAATATCTCTTCTTTTTGATTTCAGTTCTCAAGAAAGCCTTTCCTAACCTCCCTAAGTCAATTTCTCCTATTAAACACTCTCATAGAACGTATCCTGATTTTAATTTTAAATGTTTGAAGACTTGTTGAAAAATGTCTGTCTTCTCAGTCTGCAGAAAGCTCCATGAATGTAAGGAACCGTGTCTGCTTTCACTCACAGTTGCATTCCTAGAGTTTACCACGGTTTCTGGTACATACTAAGCACTCTAGTAGCTGTTCATTAAAAGAATGAATGCTGTATATTTCACCAAGGAAGAAAATGGACAGTTTCTGTTCACACTCAGAAACACCTAAGCGTTTAGAAGAGGTGATCTGAACCGTGTGTCTTACCTTATGATTTTGTATTTGAGCCTGTAAAGCAACTTTACTTTTGGTCTGGTGTAGGTGGTCATGAGCAAGCTTTTCCTTTCCAATATTCACCAGCTCCACCATGCCTTGCAACAAAGCATCTTGCTGGCTGTCAGTGATGAAAGGGCTGCTGAGTTCTGCATACCTGGCTCTCAGGATTCCCCACGTGCTGTCCAGTACATCCTGGAAAGAAAAGAGCAGGTGTGCACAAGCATTTTCATTCAACCAGGAAAAAAATTCAAATGAAGAACAAATCTAAACTCTTGGTGGAAGAAAAAAGTCTTACTCCTTACAATCATAGTGCTGAGTAAATGTTTTCTGCTTAGGCATACCTCTAATTTGTACACCTCCTGGAGTAAAACATAAGGTAGATGAAGCCTTTCCCCTTCATCTCTTAGTTTGGCCACTCGGCTCTCAGAGTTCTGCAGCTCTACGGCATACGCATCTGCTTTCTAAGTGAGAGACAGTACGAAAAAGGAAAATGGCTTAAAAAGTCAGGGAAGTACTCATATCCATTAAAAAAGAACAAACAGTACGGTATGAAATTAAGGGAAAAATGAGAGTCCCACTCCCCTCTTCAGCTCTCCTTATCCATCTCCCCAGAGGTCCCACAGGTGAGTTTGTTCCTAATACACTCTGAGCATGTACCAGTAGCGCTATATGTGCATATCCTTAAACTCAGTGAACTGCACCACAGCATTGTGTCCTGTAGTTAGCACTTCTCCCTTATCAGCTCTTCAGCATCTTCTCAAGTCAGTACACACACCTGGCTCCTTTTAAACAGACACATAGTATGCCAACGTAAGGGTGCACCCTGCGATAGTAACAGGCAGCTTTTTTTTTTTTAATTTTTTTTTTTCCTTTTTGTCTTTTTTCATGACCGGTAATGGGATCGCAACCCTCGGTGTCGCGCCCGCACCGCGACCGGCAACGGGATCGCAACCCTTGGTGTCGCGTCCACACAGCGCTCAACCAGTGAGCAGACCGGTCTCTATATGGGATCCGAACCCTCGGCGGGAGCGCCGCCACGCTCCCAAGCGTCACACTCTACCGAGTGCGCCACTGAGCCGGCCCAACAGGCAGCTTTTAATGGTCTTTTGGGCTACTGACAGTTTTTAATTCAAGCTGTGCTGCCAGGTCCATCCTTGAATATTATAGGCGTATTTCTCTTTATGCACTTGTCTTATTCCTTAGGATGAATACAAGTCCAGCATCCAGAACAGTGCCAGAACATAGTAGTACGTCCTCAATTAATATTTGCTAAATAAGTGAAATCAAATTGCTGCTAGATGGAAGAGTATTTATGCTTAAAATTCTGATACACAGCCAAATGATCCCCAGAACCTGGGCTAATGAACGTTCTTACCAAGATGACACCCTGACCAACACCGGATGCACAATTTTGCCAGGTTGACAGGGGAAAATGGTGTATTGTTTTAATACATGGTGCTTCAGAAAGTACTACTTAAGAGGTGT